GGGAGAACAAAGGATAAAGCAATCTCCCCACTGGGACTTTTCTCTCCCTCCCACCCAGGGGTCATTTCGTGGAAAAAGAGCTAGGGGAACTCATTAGCATAACTCATTAGCATATGCCACACCCCTTGACATCAGGGGCCCGGCGGTGGACCTGCAAGGCCAGTGGGAGTGCGAGGAAGCCCTGCGAAGGCCCTCCCTGGCCCCAGGCAGGCAGGGGTGGGGAGAGGCGGGGAGGAAGCAACTTACCCTCCCTCTTCTCCTGCCTCCTCCTGGCTGAATGAGGGCTGGAAGCGGGGTGGCTGGAAGCAGGGGGCGGGGCTTCGTCATGTGCCCCCCTGCACCTCACCCGGGGGAACTGCGTTCCCCCGCGTTCCCCCCCGAAATGACCTCTGCTCCCACCCCACAGGACAACTTCTACAGTACTTGTACATTTTATTTTGTACCACACATGAACAGCGGATATAGATGTAAATATGATAGAGCATCCATGTTCATTCATCGTAACAATCTTTTGAACGAGATGGGATGGTTGAAATGTAGCATCATTATTCAACACTAATTGGGGGGTGGGAATCGAGCATTCGAACCTCTTCCTCTTAAAGGGGGTGGGGGGAGAGGAGATGTCAAATGCCTTCTCCCAGTTTCCTGTAACTGTTGGTCTTGAGGGATTTCCGTAGAATTTCACACCAGTGAATACTATTTCAGCTAACAGAAATCTACAAGATGATTCTGAAGACCTTGTATCAGGGGATTTTGCCCCCGAACAGCCCAAGTTTATGCCTACCCCGGAAGACCTGGACCGGGCGTTACAGGACGTGGCTGGATGGCTTAGACTGAGTTGGTTGAAATTCAATCCGATGAAGACGGAGGTCCTGTGCCTGAGTCGGAGTGGTATGGGGGTAGGGATCCCACTCCCAGCCTTTGATGAGGCACCGTTGGTGCCAGCGCCGAGGGTTAGGAGCTTGGGAGTGCTCCTGGATGCTTCCTTAACAATGGAGGCCCAGGTAGCAGCCGCTGCCAAGGCAGCCTTCTACCACCTTCGGCTGATTAGGCAGTTGGTTCCCTTCCTCGAACGCAATGATCTGACTGCAGTGATCCATGCAATGGTCATCTCGAGGTTGGGCTACTGCAATGCTCTCTACATGGGGCTGCCCTTGGTGCAACTCCGGAAGCTGCAGGCTGTTGATGGGTCTCCCCAGGTGGGAGCACATCCAGCCTGTGCTAAAGACATTGCACTGGCTGCCAATAGCATACTAGATTTGCTTCAAGGTGCTGGTTTTGACCTTTAAAGCCCTTTATGGTCAGGGACCGGCTTACCTGAGGGATTGCCTTTCCC